AGTCCCCATGTACAATCCCTTCCAGCTCTTCTTGTGCAAAGCCTTGTCTCTTAGTTTTTTCCTGCCAGGCTTGAGAGTGACCTGGGTGACAAAGAAAATATTTGTGTTACAGCATGTATGGATGTGCCGTTCTTGGGCAACTGGGCAAAATGTGCAGTCAGAATGGGCTGCAGTACCATCTTATGCTACCTTTAGTGCAATGCATACTAACAAGAAAAAACAGACCCAGAGATGGATAAAGAGAGAGCAATGATCTGTGGCCACCACCCGCTAAAATCTATATGTTTTGGGGCATTTTCATGTTCTTACCCTCCTGTACACCGATTCTCAAATTTAATTCATCACAGCAGGTGAAATGAAGTCAGATTCCTAACTGGACTGATTGATATCCCTTTGATGATTAAGTATAATTAGTATTTTTAAACACCGATTAGTTCAAGAAAATATCTTTAAAGTCAAATGTCAGCGTTATATTGTAAATTCTCATATGTAACGCATGGATAAGTTTCCTCGATAGCCAAAGACGCAGCCAACACAAAGCCTTTATAGATGCTGACTGAAAATGCCAATTCAAATAGCACATTAGATATGATGGTGGTTTCCACAGCTCCAGTTTAATCAGGACAAAACATGCTATACTCATCTTTCTGCTGTCCTAAGGTTGTTTTTTTTTTTTTTCAGATCAATTTAAATCAGTACTTTACTTCTTACTCCAATGGCAAAAACAAGACAGTTAAATGCCAAAAGTTAAAGTTCTGGATGAAGTGTTGAGTCTCATTCAGTGTAGCCTGATAGTCTTTTAGAGAAAAAATAATGTAACTGATAAGACATGCTGTAATACAAGCCTGTCCAGACACGACAGTTCACTCTGCCACTGGGGAAATTACTCTGAAAAAAATTAAACAACTTGTGAATTCACTGTATTAAGTTATATCAAGACTGGCAATATGCTAAGGAGAAGATTACAGCCTATTTAAGCTTATAGACATTCAGTATTTCAACTTTAAATGATTTTCAGCATTATTTTCCATATCTATTCTCACTTAGAAATCTGACTGTTCTCACAGTGCATTAGACCAGTTGATTGGGCCCAAAATATATTTACAGGCAAGAATAAATAATATTTTTAGGTTGACCATGTGCTCACGGGAAGCTGCAACCTCTGAAAGTAGCAAGTTGCCTATTTGAATTCTTGAAGTTCAGTAGATTGGCAATGTATAGAACTCCATGTGACTCCATTTTTTCTTATATTAATGTGTGCTTTAGCTGCATCTGGTATTATTTGAGGGAGAAAAAAAAAAGAAACGTAACAAAAAAATCCTTTGGTTGAAAGGAAATCCATTTGACCGTCAGTATAAATATAGTGAATACTGATCTGTGGATAAAGGTCGCAATTTTGATTTCAAAAGAAAGAGAAGCTGACATTAACAGAAATGATTCACAGACATCTGAAAATTATTTCAAGTGCAGGCAGTGGTTTAGTCTGAGCTTTAGCAGCAGTTTGCTATTTTATTAACTGCCAAAGCTAAAAGGCCACACGATGATGAGGAGCAGCTATTCCAGCCTGGTACTGCATTTGAATGTGATCTGCAGGTTGTGGAGGAAGTCATATTCTGAAATTGTGTTGACAGAGACAAAATAGACAGAGACAAAATAAAAACAAAATGCCAATAATCAAATTTAGGCTTCTTCTAATTTATTTATATAGTCTCCAGGCTTCTTGAAGGGCATCCAAAGCTCTTCGTTGGATGTTGGATACCTTTTGTTGTGTTTTCTGTCAACCTGATCCCACACTGCTTCAAAAATGTTGAGGTCTCAGGGGAGGCCAATCTATGACTAATAGTGTTCACTTAGTGTTTTTCTGTCCAGGTATGCTTTTATGGTATTGGCAATAAAAGCATACCTGGATCATTTTCAAAAGCATTTGGGATAATTTTCATGCTGAACAATGAAGCTAGCTTTCCAAATGTTATTGCATGGTGGATCAAAAGCTGATGTTACTTTTCCACATTCATAATCCCTTTCATTTTGACAAGATCCTCAACACCACTGACTGAAATGCAGTTACAAACCATGACAGAGCCTCCACCATGCTTTACAGATGACTGTAGACACTCACTGTTGACCTCCCCTGACCTCCTTCCTGCATACCAAAAACAATCTGAACCAATCATTTCAAATTTGTATTCAACCTATAAGACCTGTTACCACTGACTTTCAGTCTAATTCTTGTTTAATTTGGTATACTTCAGCCTTTTCTTCCTGTTTCCCTTCTTCAAGAATGGCTTCTTAAAAGCCACAGGTGCTTTGAGACCATTTCGGATGAGGCTTTGGTGAACAGTAGATGGCTCAATTTAAAGGCTAGATGCATGTCTCAAGTCCTGTGTTAGATTCTTTGATGGATTTTTCCTGTTTCTTCATGAAATAAATTTCATGTACTGTTCATTTGCTGTAGATAGTGTTTAAGCCTGCCACCCTGTTTTCTTTTTTGTCCTTCAGCTTTCAGTTAATAGCTCTTTGGCAGTCTCCTTGTTTGTGCAGTAATATTCTTTTACACATGTCAAACTGTGTTATTATTTCTAAAATCAAAGAAACGAAAAGAAACTGAAACAAATTGTGTTTTATCAGTAACAAAGGGCGTAAAGATATAATTAAAAATTGGCTCTTTGATAAGTTTTCATTATGTTCCCTTGTTTGGTTAGGTCTTTTTTATGTAATGTTTGAATCATTCAAAGATCAGTGTTAAGTGGCTTAACACACACAAAAAAACATTCCTCTATAAATGAACAGGTATAAGAACTGGACTGAGAAAAAAGTAGCCAATGTAAAAACAAAAAACAAAAACAGAAAAAACAAATGGCTGAAAGACCTTCAGAAATCTTGGAAAACAACTGATCAAGACCATTTTTAAAAAAATACAAGAGTTTCAGGTTGCTTGGAAGCAAAATATAAAGAAATAAGGGAAGACTTTTGCACAGTACTGTCCATTCATGTACTTCATTATTCTTAGGAAAATGCAAGCCCCAAGGCAAGGTGGGGTATAAAATTAGTTAGCAACAATGTGACACTACTGTGTTGAGTAAACTGTCAGACATAAAAAAAAAAAGAAAGAAAAACAAATAAAAACACTTGCGCTTTTGCTAGCATTCACTCCAGTAATTATCTCCACGATTAACCTCCTAAGACCCAAACACTTCCATGGCATGCATTTTTAATTTCTCTTTGATATTTGGCCATGTTGGGACCCGATGAATGTAAAAACAAAAAATTTCCAGATTTTTTTTTTTACCCGTTTTTTGTTTCTGAGAAAAATTTGATCCACATATAAGGACATATGTTTAAAATTTCGATAGAACGGTGACAGCATGATGTCCTCGTAAGTGGATATCCCTCCCTTGTAGAGCAGAATTTATTATTTTGGTCTAGACATCCCAAAATGTGATGTGGACGCCAGGTCCTAGGATGTTAAGATTTGTCATGAATGCATACACACATACACAGATTCCCAGGGTGAAAAGACCGTTAAGCACAGTTGTAATACCCAGTATTATATATGTTATTATTACCCTAAATGATGATCATACCTTGAGTGACATATTCCTGAAACCAGTGCCAAGATGTCTGGGCATGTCCGTGCACCCTGTTGTGTAGTAAATTGTTATTAGATTAAAAACACCCTCATATTACCACTCATCTATCCATAACAATCACAGATTAATGATTTATCTAAGACATAAAATTCATGCAAAATAAAGTCTTAGAGGTGTACATAGTCATTTCTTCTTTATGATCTTTTTGGTCTGTGGATAATCCGCTTCTAATGACTGCATTTGGGCTAGCGGTGCCTAGAACTGGGAGTTGTCAGTTATTCGAAGGGAAAGGAAGGTGTATAATATTCTAGCGCATGATACATTACATGGAAAAAAAATCCAAGGTGATGGGAAAAAAAGTCCATCACCTTAGATGGCTCACTGGATAACTCAGTAAATCTTTTAAATCATTTCTCAAAAGAAGCCATTTATTCTCAAACCTCATACACAAGAAAGTAACTTAGACATTATTCATTTCTTCCTATAACAGTTTCAGAAGAATTATGCAGGTGAGTTTTTAGTATCCTGATTCATGCAATAAATAAATCAAATCTCTGCACTGGCATGAAGATCATGAACTATGAGTCTGATGACATATTTGCTAAGGTGAATCAGATCCACCATTTTTAACTGCTGTCAGAGATAAGCACCTTCGTGGCACTTAGAACTAAGAGATAATATACAGGAGTACACGTTAGATCAAGATCCATCACTAACAGGTGACTTTTGGATCAAAACAACATATTAGTCAATGTGGTGAAATGAGAAGCTGAAAAGCCACAAGACATACCTCATTCACATTAAAGATTCAGTATGCAACAAGGTCATCTAGCTTACTAACATGCAGAGTACACAGAGATCTACATTCTGTGTTCAGGGTTACGTGGGATTCTCCACGATTTGTTTTTAGAACTGAACAAACCTCTTGGATGAGAAGTGAAACATCTTCACAAATGTAAAGCAGTCCTGGTGCCTTTTTTTCAGCCTCAATAGACTTTCAAGGAAGAGAGTGATACACAGAGCTGTGGTTGTACAGTAAAGTTATAAAGGAACAAATGTTTGTTATGGCTTTAGTCAACTTTCCAAACATAATTGAGTTAATGTGCCATTATCAGAATGGGAAATTGCATTTTACATATGCAGCTAGCAACACTGAAAACCTGCATTGAAAAAACTCTCTATGAACACTATTTACATTACACATACATCGCCACTGGAGAAATTGTTCCTATAAATTTGCTGCAAACATAAAGTTATTTAGGTTAATGAATTTTTACCCGTTATAATTGAATTTTGTCACTTCAGCGTTATTATGTTGTCAGTCTACTGGATCCCTGAAGACTACAAAAATCAATGGCTGATTTTCCATGCAGTATTTATTCAATAACTGTTGATGGTGTCTTTTTTAAGGCTGGCGTGCAGAGACATGGATGTCTTCATGGATAAGGATTTCAGTATGACTGGCAACACAAGTCATGAAACACCACGAGCAAGAATAGAAGGAAACAAAGACCAAGGACTCAACCACAGCGACCCCTTGGACATGTTCATAGGCATAGAGCTCCTTCAGCGATACAAGCCTCTCTTCCTGCCTCTGTACTGCCTTGTAGTGGTAGTAGCTGTTGTTGGAAACTCCTTCCTTTTAGCTTGCATCCTGGCTGACAAGAAACTCCACAATGCCACCAACGTTTTCATCGGTAACTTAGCAGCAGGTGACCTGTTGATGTGTTTGACTTGTGTTCCGCTGACAGTGTCTTACGCCTTCGACAGCCATGGCTGGGCTTTTGGAAGACCTTTCTGCCATTTGGTTCCCTTGCTGCAGTGTGCCACAGTATTTGCATCAGTGCTTTCACTCACTGCTATTGCTGTGGACCGCTATATTGTTGTAGGTAAGGGACTTGACACTACCATTACTGATTAGCAGTAATTTACTGTTAATCTTACTATATTCCAAAATGTGTTTTCTGTAATGCGAAATGCAAATTCACCACTCAGATTTAGTCTCCTGATGCTGAGATGACCGAGCTAAAATAATTAGATTTCTCTAATTTTTACACACTTCTATACATGGCCACTTTAATTTCTGTATGAAATAACATCCTTATTGTTTTTACCTAATATATACTATATCTGTATTTTTTCCTTGTCTCAGCTCATCCAGTACGGAGGAGGATTTCTGTGTGGGGTTGCGGTGCAGTGACTTTGGGTGTCTGGCTTTTATCTTTGGCCCTGGCCGCACCTCCATCTTACTACACAGACTACCTGGACCTGCGGCCCACGGGCATTGACCTGGTAGTGTGTGAAGAATTCTGGCCAAATAGTGGCAATCTGCGGCTTCTCTACTCTTGCTTCATTTTAATAACCTCATATATGATCCCACTGCTGTCAGTTAGCGTATCCTACTGTGCCATTACTATCAGTTTGAAGCGCTATTCAGTGCCTGGGGAGCCATCAAACAGTCAGCAGCGCTGGAGCCAAAGGAGGAAGAAGACTTTCTCTCTGCTGGTGGCCTCAGTGCTGGCCTTTGCCCTGTGTTGGCTGCCTCTCCAGGTGATTCAAGACATTGATGAATTCTAACCATTACTCCATTAATCCTTATCTATAGGCATTAGACAAAGAAAGTAACATTTTTCTATATGTATCTGTTCGAAACTCATAACCTCAATAGCAGCAAAATGCTGCAAAACTGCAGGTTTAACTACTATTAGGATGATTCAATTTTATGCATCATTAACTATGGAAACCCAACATCAGATATTTGTGTCCACAAAGCCAATATTATGTCCACAATGAGCCATGTAAAAGGCTAACAGATTAGGATTTCATTGTCACATTATTGAACTGGAAGGAAAAGTTGACACTACAATATGGCTGCAAACACTCAGAGCCTTGTTTCACTAAAAGCACTTTGCATGCACTGCTTAAATGCAGATCGTAAGTGTTGGTAGAGTCGCATTTCTAAAGTCAATCTTGCATGCAAATTGCGGATAAATTTGTGGCTTCTGCAAGGCTCCTTCATGACTTAGGAGAAGGGTATTTGTCATGGCTAGTGAAACGTGTCCAAATGAGTCAAAAGTGAAATGATCTGGTTTTATAAATTGCAGTTGGCATGTTGCAAATCCTGCTGCTAAACACCGAAACTTAACTTGTGACGTGGAATGATTTAGTATTAGCGTTCAACCAAATCTAATTATGCTGGCAAATTTTACATTTATGAAATCCATTACCACAGTTCAAGCTGCCTCCTAATTTGTGATTTTCGAGGCAGAAAGAGAGGAGCAGCTTGGTTAGACTTTTCAAAAATGTTCCTTATAGTTTAAGAAATCAGTGCTGATTCGATGCAATAATAACTATTTCCATTGTGTTTTGTAGGTGCTGAACCTGTTGCTGGACTTGGACCCGGACTTCCATATTATGGGCAAGCGCTACATAAATGTCTTACAAGTATGTTGCCACTTAGTGGCTATGAGTTCTGCATGTTACAACCCTTTCATTTATGCCTCACTGCACAGCAAGGTGCGAATGCACCTCAAAGGTTATCTCTGTCCTTGCCACAACCACCAGAGAAGGATGGTGGAGAGATCCAGGAGTTGAACCCACAATGCAACTGTAGCAGCTCTTGATATGCAGAGCCCATTCTTATCCGCAAGTTAGCACCTGCACCCCAGCATGAGCGTTAATGTCTGAGACATCCAGGAGAATACAATGCAGCGGTTCAAATTTTATTTAAACCATTTTCTTCATGCTTTACCAGCATGTTGTGACATCATGGCATTTAGTCCTTTCTTGTAGCATCTTCTAAGGCAGTGCTAAAAAAACAACAACAAAAAAAAACACTGCTTACAAAAAAGATCTAATGATGGTAAAGAAGAAAGAAGACCAGTGAAGAGTCCACTGGGATCCCTGTGTTGTGCTTAGATGGCAGTGCTGCAGAGGCTAAGCAGACGCTGCAGCTTTGAAAAGGCCAGTGGGGGTATAAACAGTATTCAGCTGTAGCAGACTTATGCTTGAGGCTGAGATCATGGGTGTTAACACTGGTTACATGGACCGGTTTGCTTAAACATTAAACACTTGACTTCAGGGAGCTGACCGTACAGTGAACTCCTCAAACCAGATGTGGATCAGGAAAATACATGTGATAGTTTTATGTTGTCCACAGAACTGAATGTCATTCAATTATTTACATGTATTATTGGATAACAAATTTTTAGGTTTATTAAACGTAATTAGGTGGTACAGTCTAAGTGTGTTGTATGTGTAATTAAATATATATTTGTGTTTTTGCATACATGCTGTATGCAGTCTCTTCATTTTCTGCAGGTCAAAACCACAGTATATGCAATAATGATAAAAATGCATCTTACTGTATATGACACCTTGCAGCAGCATTGGAAATCGTCTTCAATTACATCTTATCAATACCATTTTAATAAAGGATTTACTTGAGTGAGAGCTCATAGTTAAATGTTAAGTGCTCTGGCTCTACCTGACAAAAGAGACTGGCACAATAATTAATTATTAGATAATTAAAGCACAGACAAAAACAATAACTGTAAAGCATTACTCTGCTGATGCCGTTCTCATTGACTTGCCGTCAAGTATGATTAATGCTTTCATAGGCTGGGTATAAAGTCTCACCAGAGGACATGCTAATGTGCTCTAAATTGCAAGCAAGCAGAATTAATTTGGTTCATTCGGTTAATTAGAAAGCTAAGATTTTCATTGATGCTAATTTCTGTCTATGTAGATCTGTCTAGAGCTCTCTATTTGGACAGATGAATGAATAAACAGATAGA